CACCACAAAGCATAAGGAAGGACACTATATAATGATTAAAGGATCAGTACACCAGGAGGACATAACTCTAATAAATATTTATGCACCCGATAACAGGGCTCCAAAATACATAAAACAAGCGCTAACAGCATGGGAAAGAGAGACATACAGTTCAACAATAATAGTAGGAGACTTCAAGGCTCCACTTTCAGTGAAGGACAGAATATCCAGAAAGAAGCTCAGTAAAGACACAGAAGATCTAAATGCTACAATCAACCAACTTGATCTCATGAACATATACTGAACACTCCACCTAACAGCAGCCAAGTATACTTTCTTTTCCAACACACATCGAACATTCTCCAGAATAGACCACATATTAGGCCATAAAGCAAGACTTAACAAAATCAAAAGCATCAAAATATTACAAAGCATCTTTTCTGAACATAAAGCCATAAAAGTAGAAATAAATAACAGAAAAAACAAGGAAAAAAATCAAACACATGGAAACTGAACAACACTTTGCTCAAAAACTACTGGGTTATAGAAAAAAATTAAGGATGGAATAAAGAAATTCATAGAATCAAACGAGAATAACAACACTTCCTACAAGATTCTTTGGGACACAGCAAAAGCAGTGCTCAGAGGTCAGTTTATAGCAATAAAGTCACACATCCAAAAAGAAGAAAGGGCCAAAATCAAAACATTAACTCAAGAACTTGAACAAGTAGAAAGAGAGCAGCAAAAGAAGCCCTTGGCACCAAAAGAAAGGAAATAATAAGAATTAGAGTAGAATTAAATGAAATAGAGAATAGAAAAACAATTGAGTCAACAAGACCAAAAGCTGGTTCTTTGAAAAGATCAACAAAATTGATAAACCATTGGCCAAGATGAAAAAAGAAAAACAGGAGAGGAACCAAATAACCCATATAAGAAATGAGATGGGTGACATCACAATTGACCCAACTGAAATTAAAAGAATCATAACAGAATACTATGAAAAATTGTACTCTAACAAATTTGAAAACCTAGAGGAAATGGACAGATGTCTAGAAACTCACTACCTACCTAAACTAACACAAACAGATGTAGAACAACTAAATAAACCCATAACAAAAGAAGAGATTGAAAAGGTGATTTAAGAACTCCCAACAAAAAGAACCCTTAGCCAAGACTGTTTCTCCTGAGATGGAGAAACAAATCACTAACTTCATATGGAAAGTGAAGAGGCCCTGGATAAGTAAAGCATTACTCAAGAAGAAGAACATAGTGCGAGGCCTCACACTACCTGATTTTAGAACCTATTATACGGCCATGGTAGTCAAAACAGCCTGGTACTGGTACAACAGATACATAGACCAATGGAACAGAATTGAGAATCCAGACTTAAATTCATCCACCTATGAGCAGTTCGTATTTGATAAAGGCCCAAATCCATTAATTGGGGAAAAGACAGACTCTGTAACAAATGGTGCTGGCATAACTGGATATCCATCTGCAAAAAACTGGAACAAGACCCTTACCTCACACCTTGCACAAAAACTAACTCAAAATGGATCAAAGACCTAAATATAAAATCTAAAACGATAAAGATCATGGAAGAAAAAACAGGTACAATGCTAAGAGCCCTAATACATGGCATAAACAGAATATGCACCATAAGTAACAATGCACAAACACCAGAAGAGAAACTAGATAACAGGGAGCTCCTAAAAATCAAACACTTATGGTCATCAAAAGACTTCACCAAAAGAATAAAAAGACAACCTACAGACTGGGAAAAAATTTTTGTCTATGACAAATCCAATCAGTATCTAATCTGTAAAATCTACAAGATACTGCAAAACCTCAACAACAAAAGGACAGACGACTCAATTAAAAAATGGGCAAAGGATATGAACAGGCACTTTACCAAAGAAGACATACAAGTGGATAACAGTCACATGAAGAAATGCTCACAATCATTAGCCATTAGAGAAATGCAAATCAAAACTACAATGAGATATCCTCTCACCCCAACAAGGCTAGTATTAATCCAAAAAACACAAAATAATAAAAGTTGGAGAGGTTGTGGAGAGACTGGAACACTTATACACTGTTGCTGGGAATGTAAAATGGTACAACCGCTTTGGAAATTGATTTGGTGCTTCCTTAAAAAGCTAGAAATAGAAGTACCATACGATCCAGCAATCCCACTCCCTGGAATATACCCTAAAGAATTAACAGCCGTCACATGAATAGATATTTGCACACCCATGTTCCCTGCAGCATTGTTCAAGATAGCAAAAAGATGGAAACAACCTAGGTGCCCATAAACAGACGAATTGATAAACAAATTATGGTATATTCACACAGTGGAATACTACGCAATGATAAACAGCAAGGAAGAAGCCGTGAAACATAACATGGAGAAATCTGGAAGGTATTATGCTGAGTGAACTTAGGTCAGTCACAAAAGGACAAATATTGTATAAGACCACTATTATAAGAATACAAGAAAAGGTTTAAACACAGAAGACAACATTCTTTGATGATTACGAGGGTAGGGATGGAGAGAGAGGCGCATTCACTAACAAGAAAGTAGACAAGAATTATCTCAGGTAAAGGGAAGGACAGCAAACACTACAGGGGAATTCAGCACAACTGGACTAAACCAAAGCTGGGAAATGTCCTGAAGACAACCAAACATGTCAAGGGACAGAGTAGTAGGAGCAGGGGTTTGGGAACCATGCTTCCAGGGGACGTCTAGGTCAACTGGCACAACAAAGTTTTTTAAGAAAATGGTCTACATCCTACCTTGGTGAGTGGCATCTGGGGTCTTAAAAGCTAGCTAGCGGCCATCTGAGATGCACCAATTGGTCCCAACCCACCTGGAGTAAACGACAATGAATAACACCATGTACACAAGGAAAGTATTAGCCCGAGAGACAGAAAGGGCCAAATAAACCAGAGACTTCATCAGCCTGAGACCAGAACTAGATGGTGCCCAGCTACCACAATGACTGCCCTGACAGGGAACACAATAGAGAGTACCCGACTGAGCAGGAGAAAAGTGGGGTGCAGAACGCAAATTCTAGTAAAGAGATCAGACTTAATGGTTTGATTGAGACTGGAGGGACCCTGGAAGATGTGGCCCCCAGGCTGTCTGTCAGCCCAAAACTAAAACCATTCCAGAGGCCAACTCTTCAGACAACGACTGGACTATGGGACATAAAATGATTTGCGTGAAGAGCGTGCTTGTTAGCTCAAGTAGATACATGAGATTAAATGAGCAGCTCCTGTCCGGAGGCGAGATGAGAAGGCAGAGAGGTCAGGAGCTGGTTGAATGGACACAGGAAGTCAAGGTGGAAAGCAAGAGTGTGCTGTCACAGTATAGGGAGAGCAAGTAGAGTCACAAAACAATGTGTGTATAAATTTTTGCATGAGTGACTAACTTGAATTGTAAAGTTTCACCTAAAGTACAATAAAAAGAAAATAAAAAAGAAATCAAACAAGGAATGTATTGCATTGGGCCAATCTGCTGCAAAAGTCCTCGTTACAGTGTTGAAAATCAAACATGTCAATTTGAGGACTAAGGTGTGCCTGATTCAAGCCATGGTGTTTTCAATCACCACATTTGCATGCAAAAACTAGGCAATGAATGAGGAAGACCAAAGAAGAATTGATGCCTTTGAATTACGGTGTTGGAGAAGAATATTGAATATACCATGGACTGCCAGAAGAACAAACAAATCTATCTTGGAAGAAGGACAGCCAGAATGCTCCTTAGAAGTGAGGATGATGAGACTTAAGTCTTCTGTTGTAGTTTGGAAATGTTATCAGGAAGGACTCGTTCCTGGAGAAGGACATCATGCTTTGTAGAGTAGAGGGTCAGCGAAAAAGAGGAGGACTTTCAATGAGATGAACTGACACAGTGGCTGCAACAATGGGCTAAAACACAGCAATGATTTTGAGGATGCCACAAGTCTGGGAAGTGTTTCATTCTGTTGTACATAGAGTTGCTAAGATTCGGAACAGACTTGAGGGCACCTAACAACAACAACCCTTAAGTAAGTATCTCTGACTTAAGGATGACATGCAAAAAATGATGCCACAGCACATACAAATAAACGTAGAAGATAAATAGAATATATAAAGTAAGGCTGAAGAATAAAGGAAAAGAAAATATTAGTCAAAATCAAAATCAATCAATATGTATATCCAAATCTTCCAAAGCAACTCAAAATATGCAGATGCCTCAAACTACAATGTAATTAGGCTTATCATTACATCTGACACTGTTAGCTATTTCAGAATTTACATCTCCATATCTAAATGATATCCATAGACTTCTACTTTTCCTTCAGTGTAACTTGCCTTTCTATGTACATAGATCCCTTACACAGAAGCAAACCCCTTTTTCACCTTCCCTCCCCTTCCCTGGGGGTCTGTGCCATTAACTGTTTTAAACATCCCTTCCTGCTCACCTAGAGTTTCATTTACAGCATTTCACTTTGGTGTGTGCTCTTTCAAGTAGGGTTTCTGTAACTTCCCACCAACCTCATATCCCACCTATTTCCTGAGTTGGGCCAGGACGAATTTGTGTTCCAGGAACAGCTGACATGAAGCACTGTGGATGGACTGCTGACACAGAAATACACACCTGAGTCCCCAGGCTCTGTGGACTGGATCTCCATGCTACCGGGTGAGTTTTAGGGCCACTGAGCTGAAAATTGCTCATAAGGAATTCCTGATTTATAGACAGCTTCTTTATACTGAAAGTGAAGAAAAAAATTTGAGCTCTTCTCTCAGCTTATGAGGATAGCAATAAACAGAATCATGTCCTTTTATGGGGACACAATCCATCCTTGCTTTCTGTTCTCTTCCTTTGACCAGCTGTCCTGGAATCTGGGTGACCTCAGTGTCCATGGAGCCTGTGGAGGAAGGAGACAGAAGCTGGAGAACAGCCCAGGAGGACCCTGATGTTGCAGCTCCAGGAGGAAGTCCTGACCCTGGAGTCCAACAAGGTCAACAGGACTGACCTGCTCCCAGGAAACACAGGACTGCCAGGCAGAGAAGTGTGGGGCCATGCTGGTCAGGGAAGGCAGGGTTAGCGGCCTTTTCTCTAAGGCTGCTCATCCCCATCAGCAACCTCCTTGTGACACGGTGACCTTTCACATTCTTCACAGCTACTGAGGGCATGAGACACAATCATTTCACAGGGTGAGGGAGGGGTGCTGAATTTTAACAGGTGAAACAACTAGTGTGCTTTTTAGCCTGCTTTCCTTTTTCTTCCCTGACTCTTGTCTTTTTTGTAAAACCACTTAAACATTATTCATTTATTTGCTTTTTCAACTTATCCTTCTGCCTCTTCCCCTCCTCCTTTCCATCTCAGGTAATAAATCATACAGCTGGGTGTGTATTAATTATAGTTTTTGCTGCACTTACAAAATGATTTAGTAACTACTTTACATTCAAAATTAAATACTAAACTATACAAAGCAACATTTATTACACTTGTGCAATAGATATGGAGTAACAATAATATGAAAAACTTGCCTGAACTAATCAGTTTAAGAGACGGATTATTGCTGAGAGGTCTAAGTCCTGTGTCACTTTATAAGGGTCCATCATTCTTTCTGCTATGTCATGTAACCATAACCCACAGTTTAGATTCCTCATTTGCCAGCTTTTGAGTTAGTTTTAGCATTTATGTTAAAGTCTATAAAAGACATATTATGTAATTTTGTATTTTTTTTTTACTTTCTCTAGCTTCTTTCTCTCCATATTTCTCTGTAACATAACAAGTTATTTTTTCATCCAACACATGTGTGTGACATTAATTCATGTCAGTGCATATAATTTTAGATAATTCATTTTCATGTTTGCTTAGCATTTCAGTGCATTAATTTTCTACACTGTATTATCAATTCTTATATTAATATCTACTTTTTTTTCCCAGGTTTTTGCTATTACAACCTGAGATATGGAGATGACACAATGTTGGTTGCTGAAAGTGAAGATGACTTGAAGCTCTTACTGAGGAACGTAAAAGCCTAAATACTTCAGTACGGATTACGTCTGAACATAAAGAAAAGAAAAATCTTCACAACGGGTCAGCTAAACAACATCATGATAAATGGAGAAAACATTGAAGTTGTCAAATATTTTATTCTTCTCGAATTGACAATCAATGCCCATGGAAGCAGCTGTCAAGAAATCAAACAACATAATGCATTTTGTAAATCTGCTGCAAAAGATCTCTTTGACATGATAAAAAGCAAAGATGTCACTCTAAAGGCTAAGGTGCACCTGACCCAAGCCATGGTATATCCAATTGCCTAATAAGCATGCAAAACCTGGACAATAGAAAATGAAGACCGAAGAAGAATTGATGCATCTGAATTATGGTGTTGCCTAAGATGTTGAATATACTCATGGACTGCCAGAATGCTCCTTAGAAGTGAGGATGGTGAGAATTTGTGTTGCTTACGTTGGACATGCCATCAGCAAGGACCAGTCCCTGGAAAAGGACATCATGCTTGGTAAAGTAGAGGGAGAGAGAAAAAGAGGAAGACCCTCAATGAGATGGATTGACAGTGGCTGCAACAATGGCCTCAAAGAGTAACAATTGTGAGGATGGTGCAGGACCAGGCAGCATTTCGTTTTGTTGTACATAAGGTCACTATGAGTCAGTGTCAACTCGAGGGCACTTAACAACAACAAAGCTACTACAATCAGCACTTCACTCTTGTACCTGTCTTTGCACATCCATGTGCAAGAGGGTCCCTTTACCTGAAAAGTGAAGACGGAGTCCTAGAGTCCACATGTCTACTTTGCATAATAACAACAAAATGTTTTCCAATTAAGTAAGGCAAATAAGTAGTTCTCTCAACATTGCAGGAGCTTTTGCAAATGTTCCACATCTAGGACTACAATTAATATTTAACGTTCCTTCAATTTTGCCAATCAATTATGGTAAAATTGTATTGCACATTAGTTCTACTTTATACTTTTCTGATTACTAAAGCAGTTGAACATTTTTTTTAAAAATATATTTATAGGCCACTAGTGTTCTCTGCCTAGCCCTGGTGGCAAAGTGGTTAACAGTTGAGGCTGGTAACTGAAAGATTGGTAGTTTGACCCCACCAGCCACTGCTTGGGAGGAAAGACTTAATGATCTGCTCCTGTAAAAATTACAGCCTTGGAAACCGTGTGGGGAAGTTCTACTCTGTCCTATAGTGTCGCTATGAGTTCAGAATCAACTCAACAGCAACAGGGAGTGTTTTCTGCAAATTGCATTTTGCCCATGCATTTTTGGTTGATTAGCTATTATTTATTTTTAGCGGTTCTTTATATATTTCGGATACCAAATGTTTGTCGGTTACGTGTGTTGTGAATATCTTTAGTATTTTGTGGCTTCTGTCGTCATTCTCTTTTTGATGCTTTCTGTTGATCACAATTTCTTAATATAGTAGAATTCATCATTCTTTTCTTTTGGGTGTACAATTTTCAGTCTTTATAAGAAATCCTTCCATAGCACAATGTCATAAAGGATATTGTCCCATATTATTTACGAGAACTTCTACAATTTTGAAACTTGTGTTGAAGCATTTAACTCATTTATAATTTATTTTTCTTATGCTGTGAGGAAGGTTTAACTTCTTCTTTTTTTTTTCCTGTATGGGTAACCACTTGTTCCAAAATAACTTACTGTATATTACATTTTCCCCATATACCAGTAACAATAGCTCTGTCATAGATTAAGTTCCTGTATATTCATGGGCCTAGTTTTCATCTTACAATTATTTTCCATTGATCTATTTATTTTTGCATCTTTCATTATATGAAATTGTACAATCATTTCACAGATGGTAGAACAAGTCACCTTGTGTTGTACTTCTTCAAGATTGTCTAACTTTTTCTTGTCCTCCCTTTCCACATAAATTTTAGATTCTCCTTGTCAAATTTCATAAAAAATTTTTTTGATGATTTTGATTAGTATTGCATTAAATACATAGTTAATATTTCAGACATTTGGAAAATTTTTATTGCTGTGTTTACTTATTCATGAACATAGTATATCTCTATTTATTTCAGACTTTTAAAACGTCTTCCTCTTAATTTTTTTAAATAATATTTTCCATGAAGATCTTGTTTACATTCTAATATTTTTTTCCTAGGTGTTTTATATGTTATATTACTATTCATAAATGTTATCTATCCTCTTTTGCTTTTTCAAATTTATTTTATTTTTTAGGCAGACCATAAATGTCGAGTGGGCTTCCTAGATTGTTTTACTTGAGGAATGACCACCCCAAGGGTCCTTGTACATTTTAGATGGGTTTTGTTTTGTTTTTATGTGTTTACTACACACTATATTCAATCAAACAGACTCATGGAATAGGTTTTTTTTTTTTTAACTTACATGTGATTTCTCTCTTTTAAAAATGAAGGCCTGACATATATAAAGTTTACTTATCTTAAGTGTACCGTTCAAGGAATTTTACATATGTATGCACCCATGTAACTACCACGCAGATTAAGATATAGAATATATTCAGTATATGCAGAAATCTCCCCGTGTTCCTCCTCATTGCTGCTTGGGTTTCTATTACCAAAGATTCGTTTTCTCTGTTCTTGACCTCTATATGAATAGAATTGTAAATTATGTACTCTTTTGTGCCTGACTTCTTTCACGCAACACAATGTCTTGGGATTTATCCATATTATTGCATGTGTCAGTGGTTTTCCTTCTCTCCCTCCTTCCCTCCCTCTCCCCCTGTTTCTCCTTCTCTTTCTTTTCCTCCTCCTCCTCCTTCTTCCCCTTCTTCTTCCTCTTCTTTTTCTTCTCCTCCTCCTTCTTTTGGGTAGTATTATATTGTACGACTATACCAACATTTTTTCTTCTTTATTAGAATTTGGTTGCTTCTGGTTTTTGGCTATTATGAATAAAGATGCTATGAACATTTCCGTTGAACATATAAGCAGAATTCTCAGGCAGGTGCCTAGGAGTGAGACTGCTGAGTCAAAGGAGACCCACTGTTCCTCAGTTCATCCACACCCAGGCCAGCTCTCTTCTCCAGGAAAGTTGCTGAGTTTCACTCCATGAATCTCTTTTCCCAATACACCCCTTACTCAAATATTAAGGACTCTTTCATCACTGGTTTAATGCCAGGGTGGTTCCCTAGTGTAACAGCTTTGGTTTAGAGTAGATTCTTGTGGTATAATAACTTACCCTAGACTCAGCCACATATCCATCCATACCCATTCATTCATGTATTTATTTGTCAGTGGTTAAAATGCTGGACTGCTAACTAAAATGTCGGTGGTTTGAAACCACCAGCCACTCTGTGGAAGAAAGATATTGCAGTCTGTTTCCATAGAGATTTACAGCCTTTAAAACCGTATGGGGTTTCTATGAGTTGGATTCGACTTGACAGCAGTGGGTAACTTTCTTACAGTAAGCTGGTGCTTACCACGCTTAGTGGTTAATCTGTCCCTGGTCATTATCCATCCAGCACAAAGATCTAACAGCTTCTCTTCCCAGTTGAAGATCTGTGCCTGCTCTTTAGGCTCCAGGCTATTTTACAGAATAACCCACATCACCCCCTGGTGGTCAAAGGGATGTATTCACCAGATGCCTGTGGACCTTGCTGGTCATCCTTCCACTCCCGTGAGATCAGGGGGAGTGGACAGCTCCAGCAGGTGAGGCAGCAGCCAGGCATCTCCAGCACCTAGTGTAGTTGGAAAGAAGCTGTATGTGGTGTAGCGACCTGCCAGTATCCTCTGCCGAATTGTGTTATAGCTACACCGTTGTCCAGCCATTAGTATGTATTGACCATTGCCTTGTCAACCTTCCTAGCTGGACTCATGGAAGTGTGCTCCTAAATCTCTGTCCTAAGTTCTCTGCCTTTCTCACTGTACATTCGCTTATCCAGGGATCATATGCCCTTTCTTTCTCCACCTGTGCTAAATGTCCCGAATTTTTCCCTCCAACCAGATCTGTTCTCTGTGTCCATGACTTGAACATCCAGCTGATTCCTGCCTATTTCCAGTTGGATTTCTGCCCCAGCAGCACCTAGTCACAAAGTAAATCATACTCTCCCCCCACTTGGTCCTACCAATCCACCCAACCCTAATAGTCATCTCTACCACCTCCCTGTCTAGTGACTCCCATGTCTAACCTGTTACCTGGCCCTTTTGATCGGACTACCTAAACGTATTTTAAATCCCTCATTTCCCTTTTCTTCTACCACCACCACCATCATCCTAGCTAATCTTAAGAGTACAGGATCCCCAAGTTAGTTGGCATGAACCGGTGCTGCATCCACACCTGCCTTTCCCAACCCCTCTGGCTGTGAGACACTCAGCCCACATCCATTCTTTTGGGTGAATATGGCCACAGCACTGACTGTAATCCAATCCCAATTTGTCCTTGGACCAGGACCATCAAAGTAAAATCCTAGAGCATTTCTTCAGATATTTGATGATCAAAATGTGCAATTAGTTTTTAGTTGTATCACTTTCATTCTATGCTCATTCTCTCTTGTCAGTGCATACATGGTGTGGCTCCATGGTTTGCTGTTGTTGACAGTGCTGCTTAAGAACTCTGTTGTGTTCATGCCTTCCTATGTGTGTATGTGACAGTCTCTCCTGGGTCTAAACCTGGGAGTGAGCAGCTGGGTCATGGGGTTTAGGAATGTCCAACTATATGAGATAACAGCAAGCTGTCCCCAAATTGTTTCTATCACTATGCTCCCACCAGTGATGTGTAATTGACCCTGTCAATCCTCACCCTTGCCAAAACTTGGTATTGTCAAACTTTCCATATTTTTTATAATTGTTATGGATTGAATTGTGTCTTTCCCAAAATATGTGTCAACTTGGCTGGGCCATGATTCCGAGTATTGTGTGATTGTCCACCATTTTGTCATCTGATGTGGTTTTCCTATGTGTTGTAAATCCTACTTCTATGATGTTAATGAAACAGGATTAGAGGCAGTTATGTTAATGAGGGAGGACTCAATCTACAGGATTAGGTTGTATCTTGAGTCAATCTCTTTTGACATATAAAAGAGAGAAGTGAGCAGAGAGATGGGAGCACCTCATACCACCAAGAAACTAGTGCCAGAAGTGGAGCGTGCCCTTTGGACCCGAGGCGCCTTTGCTGAGAAGCTCCTACTCCGGGGAAGATTGATGACAAGGACCTTCCCCCTGAGCTGACAGACAGACAGACTTCCCCTGGAGATGATGCCCTGAATTTGGACTTGCAGCCTACTAGACTGTGAGAGAATAATTTCTGTTTGCTGAAACCATCCGCTTGTGTTATTTCTATTACAGCAGCACTAGATAACTAAGACAATAATCATATGTATATAAACTTGCATATCATTATGTCTTGATTCACATTTTCCTGATCCCCAATAAAATTAAATATCTCTTCCTCTGTTTATTGGTCAAATATCTTTCTTCTTCTATTAAATGCACGTGCATGTCTTTTGCTCACTGTCTACTGAATCGTACAAGATCGGTGGTCACTGTAATTTTTGGTTTCGTCCCTCTGCCTTCTCTCCCCTTACTCACCTCTCTCAAGAGCCACCTCAGCCAACACCTTCCCTGTACCTGGTCTTACCTGTCCATTCATCAGTCAAAGCACTATGTAGTCATCTTGGAAATGTTCTCATGAGTGAAGTTCTCTGCCAGGTTGACTTATCCCTCTTTATTTCAAGGGCCCAGCATGGTGACAAGACACTGTCAAATAGTCTGGAAAGTCAAAGCCCTCGTTTATCACAGAAAACACACACATTTTATAGAAGTGTCTTGTGATCTACTTATAGTGAATTTTTCCAATCATGTTTCCACGATTAACATGTGTTAGAGTCAAGACAACCATTCAGATTTTATAATTTTCAGTCCAAGGATGTCTCCACTTCAATGGTCACTTTATAGACCTAGCACCATACCTGTTTTCTGGGTCTCACACATGTGTCCCCACTCTGCACACTCAGATACTCTCTCTATATACACATACACACAAATGCACTCCCTACACACACACACACACAACCTCAACCTCTCTCTTTACACACACACACACAATCCACACATACACATACACACTTCACACACACACACTCACATGTGTCTTGGTTCAAGGATCTGTGGTTTCCTACCCTACACGCCCACTTCCACAGGGCCCACAGACCCATGGGGAGTAGAAGGCGGCAGCCAGGCAGAGGTTCTTGCTCAAGTCCCTGATCTCTGTGTGGCGCTGTGTCACTGGCACTGCAGGAGTAGAGGCTGCTGTCCTTGGCCTGTGCACTGGTCACCATCAGAGTTGAAAATGTGAGGTCTGGGTGGCTGATGGGGAACTTGCCCTCCATGAAGCCTTGCTCGTCGGTGATGCCGGAGCCCTGGTCAGAAGTTACGATCAGGGTGAAGGTCTGTCCCAGGAGCTGGTGATACCACAGCATTGTCGGGGCCTGGATGCCTGTGGAGTGGCATTGGATCTTCACCGAGGTCCCGCTCTTGCAGATGGCTCTTCTTGGGTGTTAAGAGATGAGTGCACCCAGCGCGAGGCCTGGAGACACAGAATCCAAGGGTGAACAGCCGAAGGCCAGGAGGCCGATGTGACCCGGGCAGATACCTCTCCCTCCAGTCTTCCCCAGCTTCCAAGAGCCCTATTGGTTCTATGAAATCTTTCTGTCTTGCTCCCCAGGATCACAACCCCACTCCCTAACTGGAGACCCCTCACCTTGCCCTTAGACCGTGGAGAGCACAGCCACTCTGTCTCACAGCATCTCCAGTCCGTGGCCACCTCTTCCCCCTTGTTCACACACACACACACTCATACACACACTCATACACTTACACAGGCATATATACATACTCACACACTCATTCCTATACACACACTAATACATTCACTCACATACACACTCTTATACACACACTTGCACACACCTGTACACACTCTCACACACATGCACTCTCATGCACACGTTCATACTCATATACACACACTCATACACAGACATACACATACTTAAACACACACTCACACACATTCATGTACTCATACACACTCACACAAACACACAGTCATACACACACCCTCTTGAGGCACAAGGTGGCACATACCAGGCCGTAGGAGCAGCAGCAGCACCAGGATCCTCCGGAGCTGGCCTCTTACCACTTCTTCTTCCAAAAGACTGAGACTATGCTTTTCATTCTTCTCTGCACCTCTAAGGGGCTCTCCTGGTGGCGGGGTGGGGGGGAGGGCGGGGTGCGGGGGGAGATGCTCTGATCTGCCCCCTGATGGTGACCTCACCAATGATACAACCTGCATCCGTCTCCCAACTGTCACAGAACCAGGCATTGTTGAAAGGGGACTCAGACTTTCTAACACAACTTCTAATTTTATGAGATAGGCTGAGACCTGGAGCTTTGGAATGGCCTACGCACCTTCACATGGGGTCACCATGAGTCAGAATCAACTTGACAGCAGCTAAGACAACACTGCAACTTTCTTAGCTTTATATAAGGGAAGGGGCATGTTGTGTAGTACCTTTGGAGATGCTGAGCAAGTTGTCTGCACATGACACTTTAAAGGTTTTTGAGTAGAGATTTTTAAAAGGCTAAACTAACAACAAAAAACTGACCTCGTAGGTCAATAAACTACAAGGTTAAAATGTAAATTGAACAAGAGGAATTTTCCTGGGAAAGGGGATATTTAATGGATAAATTTAGGATCTGCATACCACAAAAAAAAAAAAAAAAGGAAACTTAGTTGGAAAAGGTATGAATGAACCTGAGCTGAGAGAGATCTCCAGACTTACTGTATGGTCAGTATTGCCACATTCTTCAAATAGATCAAACAGGCAAAGCAGCAAACATGACTTTTGGTCTGGTAATAGGCAGTTTTGACTGTTAGGAGAGCAGTTTCATCAGAACAGAAGTAGGTCCAAGAGAAGGCTGACAATGGCATCCAGAGGAGTGATTCTCCTGTGGCAAAAGCTAAGGTGTCGGCCACCAGGAGTAACAGTGGACTTGGAGGGGACCCAGAATGGGGTACTAAGGACACTCCTTACAGAGAGCTGGAAAAGTAACTTGAAATGTTGTTGTTAGTTGCTGTCGAGTCAGCTCTGGTTCACGGCAACCTTAGGTATGAGAGAATGAAACATTGCCTGGTCCTGCGCCATCTTCACGATCATTGTTATGTTGGAGTCCATCGCTCCAGCAATTTTGTCAGCTCATCTCATTAAGGGTCGCCACCTTTTTTTCTGACACTCTACCAAACAGGCTGTCCTTTTCTATTGATTGATCTTCCCTGATGACAGGTCCACAACAAGACAGTCAAAGTCTTGCCATCCTTGCTTCTAAGGAACATTCTTGTGTTTCTCTGAGAACTGATTTGTTCATGCTTGAATAAGAGGTCATAAAAATACATCAACAAAGTGAGAGCTGCTGTTTCAAGGGATCAGAATGAAATTTTGCCAGAGAACAGAAGAAGTAAGTTTGGTTTTCTGAGAGTGAGACTAAAGGGTTTAGCTGATACTGAAAAAAGGAAGGTGTGTCCAGAGAGAATCTATACAGTTCTCCAGAGCTGAGTGGTGGGGTGGTGTAGAAATGGCCAGTTTTGTGGACAAAATGGATTGCAGAATTTTAACAGAGATACTTTGAATTCTCCAACTGATCTATGTAAATGTAATGACCTACCCAGGTAGAGTTAATAACCCAATGCCTCCCTACAACTGTATCGATGTTTAGTGTGTTGTCCCTACTACATTTCAATCACATACCTGAGCACTTTTTGCTTATCACCACAGTAGGTACTTTTCCACTGAGAACACACTAATCTGCTCCCTTCTCTCCGCTTCACAGAAACCAACAAGTGGCTTTGCAGCAACTGAAGTTGTCACACTTAAAATTAGCATGCTTATTGTGCTGCCTGGGTTACCCGCTTATAAAGAGATTCACTGGAGTCTTCACTGGCTCACACATTGCTCTGAAAACTAAGATTTGATCTCCTCTCCATTTATTTCTCCTCTCCTAGGGTCTTTGTGTCCAGGAAATACATAAATAATTCCCCTTCCTCACTTGTAATGGACATCTCTTGGGTGCCCAAGCCCCTAATTTGGGTATTCCTCTCCCTGAAATCTTGGCCTCTTGATCTATAAAATCAAAGGGACAGGGCCCAGGTGCCATGTTCAAAATGACCCGACCCCTGTGACTAAAGGTGGATTTTCCAAGAGAACGTTCTTGAGAAAAGCAGGGCCAATCTCTCCTGTCTTCTGGATTTTGTAATCTAGTTTGAGAGACAGTCAAGCTCCTCCTTCTCAATGTGGTTGGAAGACTACAATCAGAATATACAATCTTCTACTTACTATGAGAGCTAAGAATGGAGAAGACAATGTATAATAAGGAAGAAACATGAGACAAACAAGGTAGAAAAAAGAAATGAGTTGTAAAGTTGGCCATGTCATTGTTGCAAGACTTCGTTTCAGATTGTTTCTGAGAAATTTCTGTGTTATTGTTTTGGGGTTCTATGGAGTCCCTAGGCAACATAAATGGTTAAGCACTCAACTACTAACCAAAAGGTTGGTGTTTGGAACCCACCAACAGGTACTTGGAAAGAAAGGCCTGGCAATCTGCTTCTGAAAGTCCACAGCCTTGAAAACCCTATGGAGTACAGTTCTACTCTGCATACATGGGATCTCTATGAGTTTGAATTGACTGGACAGCAACTGTTTTTTTTCTTTTTTCTTTTCAGGAGGGACACATATTTAGCCTTGGAATAAACTCCCTGTTGGCTAAGGGCAGCTCTAGTTAGCTTCTCTTCCTTCCAACCAGTGAGCCACCTGCTTCCTACACTGGACCACCATGAGTTTGTTGATCCTGGGAAAATATCACAAACTGAATATTGAGGAAAATACCACAAACTGAATATTAGGTCAGTGTAACCACTTTTCCACTCTTGACATAACTGACTATGGTTTTTGCAGGTTTATGCCTAGCTCCTGCCTACAGATGACATCACCGTAGCCATAAACTCACTTCCTGTTATTGCTGTTAGAAGAAGGATGGGTCCTAGAGAAGGCTCTTGGATCTGGGGGATGGCAGGTTTATGAGCAGAGGAGAGGCAGGACGACACCTCTGTGTCTCTACTGTTGGCACACAGGTACACGGCCAAGTCCCCCAAGCCCAGTGAGTGGATTTAAGACTACAAAAGGAAGTGTTGGGCCAGTTGAGTTGGAAGTTATCGGAGGTGTCTGTTCCATTGTTAAATTCTGTATTGTAGTAGTAGAACAGCAGCTTCAGAGCTTGGTTCTGCTTCTGCTGGTACAAGTACCTGACACCAGGATTCAGATTCTGAGAACTCAGGGTCACCAATTTTCCCACCCTGGTAACCTGGTATTTTGGGCTCTGGGTGACCATAGCACCCATGGAACCTGTAGAGAGAGAAGGGAAACTTAAGAGTCAGAAAGAGGCTGATGTTGCTGGCACGAAAGAAGGTCATAGAAAGTCATAGACCAGTCCAGTTGCATCGGGTTGGTTCCAACTCATGATGACCCCACATGTGTCAGAGTAGAACTGGGTGTCATAGGGTTTTCAATGGCTGATTTTCAGGAGCAGATTGCCAGGTGTTTCTTACAAGGCACCCTGGGTGACTTGAGCCTCCAACCTTTCAGTTAGCAGCCAAGTGTGTAAACTACTTGCACTGCCCAGGGACTTCAGAACTGACGACAATAGAGCCTTAGTCAAAGCATTCCTTCTGCCCAGGACTCGTCTGGTTCCCGGAGACAAAGAGCCAGGCAGGGGAGAAGCCTGGGACCCATTGCAGGGCCAGAGCAGGGGTGGGACGTCTGTCTGTTCTAGGCTCTGATCTCTGGATTGAGAGGTGGCAGTTCAGAGTCCATGGTTCCCGGTAGATAGATTTACTTGTGGTGACAGAGCTGTTGTTGATGTCACAGGGTGAGGTTCACCCCTCTCTGTGTTATTGTACCCAGCTTCCTGCTTGGCAGGGAGTCTGGGTGTGGCTGGGTCAGGCACAGAGCAGCAGTTTATCCCCTAAACCATTTACTGCTTCTTTGAGTCAGGGGTTCCCTTATCTGCCCCTTCCCCATATCCTTCCTGACCTCCCCACCCAACCCCCTTTTTCTCACATCCTACAGGGTGGCTCAGTGGCTTAAGGAACCCTGGTAGCACAGTGGTTAAGCACTCATTTGCTAACCAAAAATTTGGCGGTTTGAACCCACTAGCTGCTCTGTGGGAGAAAGACGTGACAGTTGGCTTTCATAAAGATTTACAGCCTAGGAAACCGTATGGAGCAGTTCTACCCTGTCACATCAGTTCAGTTTGAGCTGGAATCAACTCAATGGCAAGCTTCTTTTTTTTTTTTTTGGTATACAGTGGCTCAGAGGTCCCTCCATACATGCACAGCTTTGCAAACCTGCTGAGATAGTGCTTTCGCATCTTACACTCCCATCACAGATGGATGACTGATGTGTACAAACTAAACAGGTGCTGTCAAGATGACCCTGACTCATGGTGACCCCATGTGTGTAGAGCACAAATGTGCTCCATTGGGTTTTCAAGACTGATTTTTTTGAAAGCAGATCACCGGGCCTTTCTTCCAAGGTGACTCTGGGTGGACTCGAACCTCAAAACTTTCAATTAGCTGCTGAGTGCTTCAACCATTTGCACCGCCTTTGAACTCTGTCTGCGAACCATCTCCACCCTAATACAGCATCCCAGCCCAGGGATTTGAGATGATGAAGGGCCTCTTGGTCTCACCTGTAGTTAGCCTTCTCTTTGGCTTCTCCTTTTACTATCCTCACAGGATCAGAACACCGTCAGACCAGGTGGTGGCTGGCTGATGGCCAAGCCTTTTTTGGAAACAGGTTGAGATGATGGACATAGGGATGGTCGGGGCCTTGCAGGGCTGTTCCAAGAGGAAGGGCATGGGGAGCAGAGGGGTGTGAGAGAAGGTCGACTATGAACTGAGGTTGTTCAGGGAGGAGAGGGGAGAGCATGCTGGCTCTAGGGTTCCCAAGGGAGTCTCCCTCAGCTCACTTGAAGATGCGTTTCCCTTCCTGCAGCAGAGAGAACCTGCAGACCAGGGCGTGAGATGACCTGTAGTGAGACTAGGGCTTCTTGGGGGACTCTGCACCCTTGAAGGCCCTGTGCAGATCAGGGCTTCTGGAGGTGGCCTTCACAGGGCAGGGGCTCATGAGCACAGGGCAACCTCAGCCCCTCTAGCTGTCCTTTCTGTGTGGGGCTGAGGTGGCCCTGCAGCACTGTGGAGACACTGCTGGCGCAGAAGTTCACAGTTGTCTGTGAGCAGGTGGCTGACCCCAGCGTGAGGGGGAAGTTCTCAGTGTTTGATCTGGAGACACTGTACCCGCCAGGGACGTCACCATTGTTGGTGATGTCAGCACCTACTGAGTAATGGATCAGTCACAGCCCCAGTTCTGGGTCTTGTCAGTACCAGTACATGTAGTTGTCCTGGACACATTGTATGGTCACCTCCCCTCCTGTCTTTGTGACCTTGTGCCTGGGGATCTGCGTGACGCTAGCATCCATGTGCCCTGTAACAGAAAGCAGCTGAGGTCCCAAGAGAATGGCTTGTATTGAGGCTGTGGGAGGCCCAAGGAAGGAGGCACACCTGTGACCAGGACTCACCTGCCCACAGGACACAGAAGGCCAAAGGAAAGAGGAGGCTGGGGCCCATCCCAGCATGGAGAGAATCTGTGTCTCCTGACTCTGTCATGGGAAGTGGACCTTCAGTGGAGACACTCATGATGTCACTGTCCCTACAGGTGCTTGGGCAGCAGAGTTCAGCAGCCGCACCTCTCTCCACAGGAACTAGTCGATCATAGACGCACAGCCGAGCAGCTCAGAATGGGAGCATTAGTAGCTCTATTTGTAAAGAAGTTTATCTGCGTACATGCCGTGTCCCTGACTTCTAGGAGGAAATTTGTTTCTCTATGTGTATTTTATTCCCACTATGATACAGTTCCTCATTATTGTTGTTTTTGAAGTCCCTGGGTGGCACAAAGGATTAAGTGCTCTACTACTAACTGAAAGTTTGGCAGTAAGAACCTACCCAGAGGCATCACGGAAGAAAAGCCTGGTGATTTTCTTGTGAAGGGTCAAGGCCTTGAATCTCCTATGGACCAGTCTATTCTGCACATGTGGGGTCTCCATGTGTTGGAGACAATTCATTGACAACTAATAACAACATACTATTTTTACTCTTTCCTGATATTTCTGGAGTGTAGGGAGAATCATCATGGCCACCCTAGTGCCTTTTATGACTTGTCTGATCAAAAGTCTCCTCCAGGAACATTTTACCAATTTTCCACATCACCTAGACTCTGGATCACTGGTGTCAGCCTACAGCAACCCCCCCTCATTAAAAGAACCAGCCTGACAGTCAGCAAGTTTTCAGGGGCAAAGTCTCATGTTGCTCTTTCTCCAGCAGTTTACAGAGCTGCCCTCCAGGAGAGGCTCCCCTGTGCCCTCGTGGGCCAGTTCTTCCCTTGTTTGGGTGAGGTTGAGGAGGACTGGGCTGCCTGAGTCCTTGTGACTGTGTTGTCCTTGAGGAAAAGAGTGTCTTTCACGATGTGAATGAGGTGTTCACAGAGAGCCTCCTGGGTCAAAGGGAAACACTCTGTCTCCATTCAGAGGGTCTTGTCCACACCAAATGCAAGAACATCAGCTGAGCCAGAAGCTTGCTGTAACTCAGAACTTCCATGTAGTCAACAGCAGTAGGTGATGTACTTTCATAGAGAGGCCATCGCTCAGTCAGGGGTATTTCTGTGACCACACGTCTTAAAATAATCTTTGCAAAAGGGAGATGGCTGGATCTCAGCTCATCCACTTCTTCAATGTGTTATCATGTTGTGTTGCTGTTGGTAGCTGTTGTCGAGTTGATTCTGACTCATGGCCACCACCTGTGTTAGAGTAGGACTGCTCCGTAGGGTTTCCTTGACTGTAATCTTTATGGAAGCAGGTCGCCAGGCCTTTATTCTATTCTTAAAGATAAGGAATGTGATTTTTAAAATTAAGTCTTGTTTCCCAAACTTTAGGGTTTTTTTTTTTTTTTTCCATACTAGGTTCCAGAAATTAACAGACGAGTAACAACTATCCTACAGCTAAACTACAATCCATTTTTGTGGACAAGATGGCAGCAAATTAAAATTCACTCTCTTGCTTTGCATTTTCTGTTCTGTGTAGATGGAGTGCTAAATACAGCCTTGGCCCTCAGAAAGCCCATTCCCATTGAATCCATTCCAACTCACAGCGACCCTATAGGACAGAGTAGAACTGTCCCATAGGGTATCCAATGCCGTAATCTTTACAGAAGCCAACTGCCACATCTTTCTCCTGTGGAGCCAGTGGGTGGGTTTGAACCTCCAACCTTTCAGTTAGCAGGTGAGTGCTTAACCATTGCACCACCAGGGCTCCATCTCAGCACCAGACCAAAAAAAACAAAAAAAAATCATTGCTGTCAGATCGATTTTGACTCATAGTGACCCTATAGGACAGAGTAGAATTGTCCCATGGGGTTTCCGAAGAGCTGCTGATGGATTCAAACTGCCGACCTTTTGGTTAGCAGTCGAGCTCTTAACCACTGCACTACCAGGGCCCCAGGTACCTTTCAATGTCCTCTAACACTCTTCACATTTATTGCAAGAGCTAGAAGCCTTGAATCTCCATTCCCCAGAGTCCTCTGACAGCACCTTTCTGGAATCAGTTTAACTTCTTCAAATAAGCTACATAGGGGAAAATTTGACAGAGAGAAGAAAGACGTTTCGTCTATAGTAGCAGACAGGTGTTTTGCAGGGGCCTCTGGACACCTCCCTGTGAATCGTCCACATGGTGGGAAAGGTCCACTCTGACCCTCATCTGTTTTCTCCAGCTCCTGACCTGGGCAGCTGTAGTAACTTCAGATTTCTGGTCGTTAGTAATGAGACAGAGAGTAGGCTGCAGCCTCCCCAGGCCCCCCCTCCCCAGCCCTTCTGATGATTTGAGAGCATCAATTCCCTGTATTAGCTCCCACCCCGCCTTCAATTCCTGGTGGGCTTCTGTTTTCGTGGCTGTATCCTCTGTGGTTCTGGGAAGCCCCCTAGTTACTTAGCCCTGGATTAGGAGAACGTCATTACCCTGCTCCATGTGGAACGGGGCAGAGGGGAGCATCTTCCTACTGGGTCACAGCTCGGGACACACACCTGTTCTCTGGCTGAAGCTTTAGGTCCTGGAAGTCAGGGGACTAAGCGGCAGTAACCAGACACCACGACCTGTGATTGCCCACACCTGCTCAGCTGGTCTCCACAGGAGAGAGGCATGCTCCACCACATCTTGTTGACCGAGACCAGGGACACTGTGGGATCTAGTTTTGGAGCATAGAGACATAGGCTTGAATCCTGGCTCTGATATTTGTAAATATGAAATACGGGGAGTCTCCATGAATCACACCTTCCTGTCTGTAAAGTGACACGAGACGTCCCCATCTATAAAGTGGACATGATAATGTCCTTCCTTGCACCCCTACTCTCTCCCATGGAGTAGGTGCTCCTGCCTTTTGCTAGGATTGGAGGGGGCCTGCGAGAGCTGAGAACCTGAGTGATGCGGTGGTCAGGGAGCTCCTGCCATGCTCTGCTGCAGGGAGCGTAGGAGAAGGACCAGAGCACCGCAGGGGCCGGGCTGGGGCTGCCCTGCTTGCCCTCCCTCACATCCCCAGCGGGGGAAGGAGGTTTGGATACAGCTGTGAGGTGGCCCTGCAGGGCTGTGCCAATATGCTGGCACAGAGGAACACAGCTGAGTCCTCCTGCTCCAGGGCGCTCACTTTCAGCTCCGACTGGTCGTCAGAGAACTGCAGGCCTGAGAACCGGCCCGGGATGTTGCCTTTCTCTTGCTGTTTCCCGTTGTAATACCGAAAGAGGAACTGTGGGCCCTGGCCCTGGGTCTGCTGGTACCAGTACATGCTGCTGTGTCCAGAGGCAGGGTGACATTGCAGAGTGGCTTTTCTCCCCTTTTCCGCTATGAGGTTTCTGGGGGACTGGATGATGCCAGCATCCACTGGACCTGTAGAGTAGGGGACAAGCTGGAGCCTAGCTTACAGGAGCCTGACACTCAGCAGCAACTGACACCTGTGGGTTCAGGGAGGTTCCAACCAAACCCAGGACTCACCTGCCCCCAGGAGACTCAGAGCCACCCAGCAGAGGATCCTGGAGCCCCTGGCAGGGCCAGGCAGGAAGAGGGTGGGTGTCTCCTATTCAGGGCTTCCAGAGAGCAGGCTTATCCTCCCCTTCCTCTGACTAGAGTTTCCCATGACATTGCTGTTCTGATGTCACCATCCCTGTAGGATCCTAAGCACCCCCTCCACCCCCTGACAGCACAGCCTCATTGCACCCAGGTCCTCCCCTCTGTCCAGCTCCTGTGCAGCAGGTGGGGCCAGCAGGCCGAGGTGGCCGGGCAGAGTCGGGACAGCAGCCTTTCCCACACCCTCTCTGATCTTTCTCTGAGACCGTCGATCCTTGGCACACACCTGGCCTTGGTTATCCTGGGGGCTGCCTCCTGAAGTCCCCTCCTGCCACTACCAAATGCAGGCTCCAGAGGGCTCCCTCCCTGCTGTGGCGAATCCACCTGCAGATCATGTCAGTGGGTGCCAGAGATTATGCTTAACCCCTCAGACCTCCCATTAGCCTGGTTCCTCAAAGAGGCTCCCCCTGCCAGGACTCAGCCAAGACTCCTCCTTAACCTGAGTCTCCCACACAGCTGTCAGCAGCTCTCCGTGGAGCCACAGCGCCCCCAGGTGGCCAATGGTGTGGCCACAGACTGCAGTTCTATGATGTGGCCCAGGGAGGCTGGGCATTACATAAGAGGCAGGATGCCTCCCAGGACTGCTGGGAGCCAGTCCATTTCATGTTTTCTGCCTCCAGTGTAGGCTTCCCAGCAGAGAGGGAGGCACAAAGCAAATATTTGCCAAAAAGGTGAAAACAAATCCTAAATCTTATCAATTAGTGCTCTAGACAGGAAGATACCAGCCAGTCATTAGATGCCAGCTGCCTTGGGAAGGGGGTAGGGTCTCTGCAAAGTCTCTCTCTTTAATCAAAGGTAATTCCTGGAGAGGGTAAGCCCTGGTTCTATCAGCTGAAAAATCTTCTCCATGGCTGGCAGAGTAACCCTGAAGGGGAAACTGCCTACTTGCAGGTCTTGTTTTGTGAAGACCCTTCCAACTCTTTCACTCTTTTGTATTGGGTTTACTTGCCAGGTTATGTTTGATTTGTAGGAATTCTTTATATTAGGGATAAAAAATATCAGTTACGGTCAAGTTGACTCTACTCATGGAGACCTCATCTCATGGGTGCACAGTATACCTGCTCTATAGGGTTTTCCAGGTTGTGATGTTTCAGAAGCAAATTGCCAGGCCTTTCTTTTGAGGCGCCTCTGGGTGGATTTGAGCAGCCAGTTTTTCAGTTAGTAGTCGAGCACTTAACTGTACCACCCGGGAATATTATACATATATATATATATATAAGCAATTGGTGGTCTGTTCTGCTGTCACCCCCTGGGTTGTTCCGACTGATGATATTGATCTTTTCCATCGTTTGTTTACACAGAAGTTGTAGATTTGATTCCTGTTTTCCATCTGGTGAGGTCCAAGGGTATAGTTGCAGTTTGTGTTGGTGAAAAAACATATTTGCAATTAAGAAGTCATTAGTCTTGCAAAATTCTATCATGGGATCTCTGGCATCATTTCTATCAGCAAGGCCATATTTTTCAACTTCCTATTCTTCTTTGTTTCGAACTTTGGCATTCCAATCACCACTAATTATCAATGCATCTTGATTGCATGTTTGATCCATTTCAGGCTGCAGAAGTTGGTAAAAATCTTCAATGTCTTCATCTTTACCTTAGTGGTTGGTGCTTAAATATGAATAATAGTCATAGTAACTTCTCTTCCTTGTAGGTGTATAGATATTATCCTATCATTGACAGTGCTGTACTTCAGGATAGATACTGAGATTTTTTTTTGACAATGACTGCAACGCCATTCCTTTTCAAGTTTCATTCCCACCATAGTAGACCATATTGTTATCCAATTCAAAATGGTTAATACCAGTCCATTTCAGCTTACTAATGCCTGGGATATCTATGTTTCTGTGTTCTAATTAATTTTTGAAGACTTTCAATTTTTGTAGATTCATACTTTGTACATTCTATGTTATGATTATTAATGGGTGTTCACAGCTGTTTCTTCTCATTTTGAGTCCTGCCACACCAATAAAGTCGATTCTACTATGAGGAGGCAGCTCTTCCCCAGTCGTATTTTGAGTGTCTTCCAACCTGAGGGGTTCATCTTCTGGCACTATATCAGACAGTGTCATGCTGCTGTTCATAAGGATTTCACGGACCAATTTTTTTCAGAAGTAGACTGGGAGATCTTTCTTTCTTCCTAGTCTGTCTTAGTCTGGAAGTTTCACTGAAACCTGTCCATCAAGGGTGACCGTGCTGGTATTGGAAATACCAGTGGCAAAACTTCCAGTATCACAGCAACACACAAGTCCCTACATTAGGTCAAACTGTGTTGTACTGACTATGCAAAGGCATTTGACTGTGTGGATCATAACAAATTATGGACAACATCATGAAGAATGGGAATTCCAGAAAACTTAACTGTGTTCATGAGGAACCTGTACTTAGACCAAGAGGCAGTCATCTGAATAGAACAAGGGGATAATGTGTGATTTAAAGTCAAGAAATATATGCAGCAGGGTTGTATCTTTTCACCATACTTATTCAATCTGTATGCTGAGCAAATAATCTGAGAAGCTAGACTATATGAAAAAGAATGGGGCATCAGGATTGGAGGAAGACTCATTAACAACCTGCGTTATGCAGAAAACACCATCTTGCTTGCTGAAGGTGAAGAGGACTTGAAGCACTTACTGATGAAGATCAAAGACCACAGCCTTCAGCATGGATTACACCTCAACATAAAGAAAACAAAACTCCTCACAACTGAACCAATAAGCAACATGACGATAAACAGAGAAAAGACCGAAGTTGTCGAGGATTTCGTTTTACTTGGATCCACAATCGACACCCATGGAAGCAGCAGCCAAGAAATCAAACGACGCATTGCATTGGACAAATCTGCTGTAAAAGCCCTCTTTAAAGTATTGAAAAGCAAAGATGTCACCTTGAAGACTAAGGTGTTCCTGACCCAAGCCATGGTATTTTCAATCACATCAAATGCACGAGAAAGCTGGACAATGCATAAGGAAGACCGAAGAAGAATTGGTGCCTTTGAACTGTGGTGTTGGCAAAGAATACTGAATATACCATGGTCTGCCTAGAGAATGAACAAATCTGTCTTGGAAGAAGTACAACCAGAATGCTCCTTAGAAGCTAGGATGGTGAGACTACTTCTTACATACTTTGGACATGTTGTCAGGCGGGATCAGTCCCTGGAGATTGACATCATGCTTGGTAAAGTAGAGGGTCAGCAAAAAAGAAGACCCTCAATGAGATGGACTGCCACAGTAGCTGCAACAATGGGCTCAAGCATGACAAAGGTGGTGAATACAGCTGGCCCAGGACCAACTCGACGGCACCTAACAACAACAACAACATTTCTTTATGCATCTTTCATTATCTGAAATTATACAACAATTTGATTGATGGTAGAACAAGTCACCCTATGTTGTACTTCTTCAACATAATTCTACCTTTTCTTGTCCCCCCTTCCACATAAATTTTAGATTTTCCTTGTGAAATTTCATAAAAAAAACTTTGATGGTTTTGATTAGTAGTACATTAAATACGTAGCTAATATTTCAGACATTTGGAATATTTTTATTACTTCATTTACTTATTCATGATCATGGTATGTCATTGTTGTTGTTGTTAGGTACTACTGAGTCGGTTCCCACTCACAGCAACCCTAGGTACTACAGAAGAAAACACTGCCCAGTCCTGTGCCATGCTCACAATCATTATGCTTGAGCCCACTGTTGATGCCACTGTGTCAATCCATCTCATTGAGGGTCTTCCTCTTTTTCGCTGACCCTCTACTTTACCAAGCATGATGTCTTTCTCCAGGGACTGATCCTTCCTGATAACGTGTCCAAAGTATGTAAGGCATAGTCTTGCCATCCTTCCTTCTAAGGAGCATTCTGACTGCACTTCTTCCAAGGCAGAACAAGGTATATCTCTCTTTCTTTTTTTTTTTTTATTAAAGTCTGAAATAAATATAGAGAGAACATGGTATATCTCTATTTCAGACTTTTAAAATGTCTTCCTCTTTATTTTTTTTGTAATATTCTCCATTAAGATCTTGTTTACCTTCTAGTAAATTTTTCCTAGGTGTTTTATATGTTATATTACTATTTATAAGTGTTGTCTCTCCTCTCTCGCCTTTTAAAAAATATTTTTATATTTATTTTTTAGGCAGACCATCAATGTCGGATAAGTTTCCTAGATGGTTTTATTTGAGGAATGACCACCCCAAGTGTCCTTGTAAATTTTAGACAGGTTTGGTTTTGTCTTTTTTTTATATGTTTACTACACACTATATTTAATCGAACGTGCTCATGGAGTAGTTTTTTTAAACTTACATTTGATTTCTCTCTTTTAAAAATGAAGGCCTGACATATATACAGTAAAGTTTACTGATTGTAAGTGTACAGTTCAAGGAATTTTACATATGTATGCTTCCATGTAACTACCACCCAGATTAAGATATAGAATATTTTCAGTATATGCAGAAATCCCCCCTTGTTCCTCCTCACTACTGTTTGGATTTCTATTACCAAAGATTACTTTTCTCTGTTCTTGACCTGTATATAAATAGAAACATAAATTATGTACTATTTTGTGCCTGGCTTCTTCCATGCAACATAACGTCTTGGAATTTATCCATATTGTTGTGTGTGCCAGTGGTTTTTCTTCTCTCCCTCCTTCTCTCCCTCCTTCTCCTTCTCTTTCTTTTTCTCCTCCTCCTCCTCTCCTTCTTCTTCTTCCTCTTCTTCTCCTTCTCCTTCTCCCCCTCCTTTTGGGTAGTAGTATATTGTAAGACTATATCAACATTTTTTATCCCTTTTCTTGTTTATTGGAATTTGGTTGTTTCTGGTTTTCATCTATTGTGAACAAGGATGCTGTGAACATTTCTGTTGAGCTTATAAACAGATTCTCAGGCAGGTGCCTAGGAGTGAGATTACTGAGTCACAGGAGATCCATTGTTCCTCAGTTCATCCACACCCAAGCCAGCTCTCTTCTCTGGGAAAGCTGTTGAGTGACCCTCCATGAATCTCCTTTCCCAATACAGGGAATTTGGACACCCTTTATTCAAGTATTAAGGACCTTTTATAACAGATTTGGTTTAGAGTAGATTCTTTTGGTATAAAGAACTTACCCTAGACTCAGCCACATATCTACCAATACCCATTGATTCATGTATTTATTTGGCAGTGGTTAAAGCGCTGGACTGCTAACTGAAAGGTCATTGGTTTGAAACCACCAGCAGCTCTGTGAAAGAAAGATGTGGCAGTCTGTTTCCATAGAGATTTACAGCTTGAAAACCATGTGGGGTCCTTATGAGTTGGAATAAACTTGAGGGCTATGGGTACTTGCTTACTGTAAGCTGATGCCTACCATGCTTACTGGTTAATCCACCCCGGTCATTATCCATTCAGCACAAAGGTCTAACAGCTTCTCTTTCCAGGTGAAGATCTGTGCCTGCTCTTTAGGCGCCAGGCTGTTTTACAGAAAGACCTGCATCGTCTCCTGGTGGTCAAAGGGGCACATTCACCAGATGCCTGTGGACCTTTCTGGTCATCCTTCTCCTCCCCTGAGGTCTGTGAGGAGTGGACAGCTCCAGCAGGTGAGGCAGCAGCCAGCCATCTCCAGCACCTAGTGGGGTTGGGAAGAAACTGTATGTGGTGTGGTGTCCTGCCAGCATCCTTCGTCGATTTGTATTATAACTACACCATTGTCCAGCCATTAATATGGATTGACAATTGCCTTGTCAACCTTCCTAGCTGCATTCATGGGAGTGTGCTCCTAAATCTCTGTCCTAAGTTCTCTGCTTTTCGCACTGTACATTCATTTGCTCATAAAGGGATCGAATGCCCTTTCCTTCTCCAGCTGTGCTGGATGTCCCTCCATCTAGATCTGTTCTCTGAGGCCATGACTTGAACATCCAGCTGATTCCCATATACTTCCAGTTGGATTTCTGCCCCAGCAACACCTGGTCTCAGTGTAAATCATGGTCTTCCCCCATTTGGTTCTCCCTTCCACCCAAATCTAGCAGTCATCTCCACCATCTCCCTGTCTAGTGACTCCCATGTCTAACCAGTTACCTGGTCTTTTTGATTGGAGTACCTAAACATATTTTAAATCCCTTATTTCCCTGTATGTCTACCACCACCATCATCATCCTAGCTCAACTTAAAAGTACAGGATCCCTGTGTCAGCTAGCCTGAACTGGTGCTGCATCCAGACCTGCCTTTCCCAACCCCACTGACTGTTAGAGACTCAACTCACATCCATTCTCTTGGATGAATGTGGCCACAGCATTAACTGTAATTCAATCTAAATTTGTCCTCCTTTGACCATGACCATCAAAGTAAAATCCGAGGGCATTTCTTCCAGATTTTTGATGATCTAAATGTGCAATTCTTTTTTAGGTGTAGCACTTTCTTTTCGTGTTCATTCACTCTTGTCAGAGCATATATGGCATGGCTCCATGGTTGGTTATTGTTGACAGTGCTACTTAAGAACACTGTTGTGTTCATGCCTTCTTATGTGTGTATGTGAGAGTGTCTCCTGGGTGTAAACCTGGAAGAAGGCTGCTGGGTCGTAGGGTTTATGAATGTGCAACTATATGAGATGATGCCAAACTGTCCCCAAATTCTTTCTATCACTATGCACCCACCAGTGATGTGTAATTGACCCTGTCGAACCTCACCCTTGCCAACATTTGGTATTGTCAAACTTTTCATATTTTGATAATTGTTATGGATTGAATTGTGTCCCCTCCAAAATATGTCTTAACTTGGCTAGACAATGATTTCCAGTATTGTGTGGTTGTCTGCCATTTTGTCATCTCGTGATTTTTCTGTGTTGTAAATCCTACCTCTGTGATGTTAATGAAGCAGGATTAGAGGCAGTTGTGTTAATGAGGGAGTACTCAATCTACAGGTTTATGTTGTATCTTAAGTCAATCTCTTTCAAGATATAAAAGAGAGAAGTGAGCAGAGAAACAGGGGGACCTCATACCACCAAGAAAGTAGTGCCAGGAGCAGAGCATGTCCTTTGGACTTGGGGTCCCTGTGCTGAGAAGCTCCTAGTCCAGGGGAAGATTGATGACAAGGACCTTCCTCCAGAGCCAACAGAGAGAGAAAGTCTTCCCCTGGAGCTCACTTCCTGAATATGGACTTGTAGCTTGCTAGATTGTGAGAGAATAAACTTCTGTTTGTTGAAGCCACCCACTTTTGGTATTTCTGTTATAGCAGCACTAGATAACTAAGACGGTAATCATGTATATAAACTTGCATCTCATTATGTCTTGCTTCACATTTTCCTGATACCCAATGAAATTAAACATCTTTTCCTCCATTTATTGGTCATATATGTTCCTTTCTCTATTTAAGGCATGTGCATGTATTTTGCTCACTTTCTACTTGATCATGCAAGATTAGTGGTCATTGTAATTTTTGATTTCCCCTAGAAAAAATTTTTCTGCAAGGGCCTACACTCACTGCTCCATTAATGGCTTCTGGCTTCTGACAAAGCTTTCTAGGTCCTCAGACAAGTCATGTTGTTGGAAGCCTTCCTTATATACTCTTCTGCCTTCTTTCCTCTTAGACGCCTCTCTTGAGAGCAAGCTCAGCCAATACCTTCCCTGTACCTGGTCCTACCTCTCCATTCATCAAAGTATTATGGTTCATCACAGAAATGTTCTCCTGAGTGAAGCTGTCTGCTTGGCTGACTTACCCCTCTTTATCTCGAGGGCCCAGCATGGTGACAAGACATTGTCAAATAGTCTTGGAAAGCCAAAGCGCACGCTTACCACAGAAAACACACACATTTATATATGTGTCCTGCGATCTACCTATACTGAATTTTTCCAATCATGTTTTCCATGATTAACATATGGCAGAGTCAGGACAACCATCCAGGTTTTATAATTTTCAGTCCAGGGACATCTGCAAGTCAGTGGTCACTTTATAGACCCAGCGCTATGCTTGTTTTCTGGGTCTCACACATGTGTCTCCACACTCCACACTTAGATTCTCTCTATACGCATACACACATATACATTCTACACATACACATACACACATACACTCAGTCTTTCTCTTTACTCCCACATATACACAAAATACACACACACACACACCATCTCTCTCTCAATCTCTCTTTACACACACACACAAAGTCCACATATACACACACACTTCACACACATGCATACTCACAGGTGTCTCAGTTCAAGAAGCTGTGGTTTCCTACCCTGCACACCCCCTTTCACAGGGCCCACAGACTCATGGGGAGTAGAAGGGGTGGCCGGGCAGAGGTTCTTGCTCAAGTCCCTGATCTCTGCCCCGCGCTGTGTCAATGACACCACAGAAGTAGAGGCTGCTGTCCTCGACCTGTGCACTGGTCACCATCAGAGTTGAAAATGTGAGGTCTGGGTGGCTGATGGGGAACTTGGCCTCAGTGAAGCCTTGCTCATAGGTGACGCTGGAGCCCTGGTTAGAAGTTGCGATCAGGGTGAAGCTCTGTCCCGGGAGCTGGCGATACCATAGCATTGTCATGGCCTGGATGCCCATGGAGTGGCACTGGATCTTCACCGAGGCCCCGCTCTTGCAGATGGCTCTGCTCGGGTGTTGAGAGATGAGCGCACTCAGCACAGGGCCTGGAGACACAGAATCCAAGGGGTCCCAGACCGGGAAGCCCACACGACCCAGGCAGATACCTCAGCCTCAATCCTCACTCTTCCCCAGCTCTGAAGAGTCTTATTTGTTCTGGGAAGTCTCCCTGTCCTGCTCCCCAGGATCACAACCCCACCCCTGACTGGAGAACTCTCACCTTGCCCTTTAACTCTTGAAGAGCACCTCTACTCCCTCTCACAACCACACACACACACACACACACCCACACACTCTCACACACTCTTATTCACATAGATATACACATTTGTATAACACTCAGACACGCAATCACATACACACAGTTTCACACACACATAACACACTCTTACACACACATACACATACTCATACATACTTACAAAAACACTCTCATACAAACACCCTCCCCTGCCCCTAGGCACAAGGTGGCACATACCGGGCCCCAGAAGCAGAAGCAGCACCAGCATCCTCCAGAGCTGGCCTCTCACCACACTGTCTCCCAGGAGCCTGGGAACCTGCTCTTTGTTCTTCTCTGCCCCTCTAGGGGGCTTTTCTGGGAGACGCTCTGATCTGTCCCCTGGTGGTGACCTCACCAATGGTGCAACCTGCATCCATCTCCCAACTGTCAGAGAACCAGGCATTGCTGAAAGGGGACTCAGACTTTCTAATCCAACTTCTAATTTTATAGGAGATAGGCTGAGACCTGGAGGTTTGGAATGGCTTATGCACCTTCACGTGGGGTCGTCATGAGCTGGAATCAACTTGACGGTGACTAACAACAACAGTGTAACTTTCTTAGCCTTTCATAAGGAAAGGGGCGTGCTCTGTAGTGAATGACTTATTGTCAGTTCTTTGCTTCTGTGCAATGTTCTCAAAGTTATCGGACCAAGACAACTGATGGTTGTTTATCATGACACCTACTGGTGAGCATCAGAAATCCTAGGCTGGAAGTTCAGTGTTTCTTCATAACTGTGATAAGGATGAGGGAGCCTGGTGGCACAGTGATTAAGCACTCAACTGCTAAATGAAGGGTTGGCAGTTCGAACCCACCAGCTGTTCCACAGGATAAAGATCTGGCAGTCTGTTTCCGTAAAGATCACAGCCTAGAAAACCGTATGGGCAGTTCTACTCTGTCCCGTAGGGTTGCTATGAGTAGCAATTGACTCGACGGCAGTGGGTTTGGTTTTTTTTGGAGAGGAGGACACCCCTTCATTTTCTAAATGCGGCATTTACTTCATGACTACGGTATGACAATTCCCCTCATAGACTGATGGGCTAGATTCTAGAAGTGTTTATTGATCATTTTCTGCATGTCTCTGTGTAAAGCAACATGGACACTCGAGGATAATTAATTCTATTGATTTTACTCCAGTGGACGACATAGTTGAGTACTGGCCAATGGAAATGGGTTCTATGAGATTTAGGGAATTCCTTTCTGCTTTGCCTGTGCTGGACAGCTTGTCTTTCAGGATTACTCCTGGAAAGGGAGTGTAATTGCAAAGAGCCTGGAGGGTTTTCTCCAAAGCATTCTACTTTCGTTTTTATATGCCCTCCTTTCAGTACATTTTATCAGGCGGCAGCTGCTTCGTATTCCTGGTTGGCTGGAGGAGGAGGGCGTGGCCACAGAGCACCCAGGCCTGTGGTTGGGGTGGGAGAGGTAGGACGGTTATGCATGGGGAGGTGGCGGCTGTGTTTCTCCGTGGCTAAGCTGCTGGCACAGAGGTACAGAGCTGTCTGGTTCTCTTGGGCCCATGTCACTGTGAGAGGGAAATGCTCCTTCTTCTTCCGAGAGGCGCTTTAGCCTGCAGCTGCGTCTCCTTCCTGGACATCATTTGTGATTGATGAGTAGTAGACCAGCCTCACTCCCTGCCCCTGGTCCTGCCTGTACCAGTACATGCAGTCATGATTGAAAGTCTGTTCACATTTCAGGGTCACGTCCTGCCCTTCCTCTCAGACCAGGTATTTTGGAGTCTGAGTGATTCCGGAATCCATGGTGCCTGTGGGAAGAGAAGGAGAAGCTGAAGCCCAGAGAGGAGGTGGTGATGCTGCTGTCACTAGGGGGGAGTTGCTGAGAGCAGATCGTGGCAGGTGGGGCAGGATCCCTCCTCGAGCCCCCACTAACCTACTCTCAGAAAAAAAAGTGTCACACAGCAGAGGACCTGGCTGCCCATCGTGGAGTATCACCAGCACTTGGGAAGAAAGGGAAGGGAGGACACTCTGGGGACCCCCTGGCTGAATATGTGACTTCCTCAGAAGGCTAGATGAACAGCTGGCAGGGTTCCTGAAGCCACTCAAGGCGGGCTGCCTAATTCTGCAGAGGAAGAGATTGAGGCCAGGAGACTGTAGTCATCGTGCCTCCTCCTGGGTCTCAGGGCCTCTGCATCTTCCTCTGTCTGAGTCGGCACCTCCACACATCCTGGGCAGGACCTTCCCCAACTGGCCCGTCTGTATTACCTCCTAGTTACAGCGAAGATTTGATTGCCTATAGGAGCTCACAGACACTCTGGTCCTGCAGGATGCAGGATGCATTTTGATCCCATCATCTTTCTCAGGACAAGAGTGTCCCCTGGTGTCCATCATAGGTATCTGTGGCACCTCCTCCCCAAGGTGAACATCACCCTCTGTGTTGCTGCCTCCAGGAGGGACTGAAATGAATTATAGCTCCATCCAGGTGCAGGCTGCTCACTCAAAGATGCCATGCAGTCCCATCCATCAGATATTCCCTCTCAGAGTCCCAGCGCTTCAGGACCACATACGACATGGACCATCTGCCTTTTCCGATGTGTCAAGGAGCAGAAGCCTGCTGTAAATTCCCAGTGGGCTGGGCCATCAGGACCTCAAATTCTAAATATCAGTAAATTAAGGTTTTAATCTCAAGACCTTTATTAATCTTCTCCCTGTTATTCCTGTCCCTCAGAAACACAAAATCAAAATAACTCATCCCTTAGTTAGGGCTTCATCCCAGATCCCTCTTGGAGCGTGTCAACTTGGCTGCCATGCCCATGACTGAGGGGCCTATCAATGCCCTAAGAAGAGAGAGGATTGTGAAGAATTTATCTCTGGTGAAGGCTGAGCCTGACGCCCTGAGCCCACAGAACAGCACGTCCTATACATTTATATTTCCACCCTTTAGGAGGTCCCACCTAGCTTCTCAATGGTGAGGCTCAACATCACACAAATCTTTCAGGCCCTGGTGTGAGCTCTGCAGTGTTGGAAGGGGGTTTGAACTTTCCCCAGGGATCCACAATAAAGCTCTCCCCCGCTAATGCTCATCTTCCTCTAGCTCCTAGCAAGGCTCTTCAATGATTAACACCTGGCTCTCTCTCGCTAGTCAGGCAGCCAGTACCCTCAGATCAGCTACTTGTGGTGGTGGGGTGACAAGTCTGGAAAACGGGCTGTGCATAAATAAGAAGACATTTGTTCATAGAGAAGACAGACATTTCAGTTCCTACCTTTGCTGTTGGCACAGAGCTACACTGCTCCAACTCTCCCCCCACAGGGGAGCGTGTGGAGATGACAGAGAGAAGCAGAGGACCTGTTGCTTGGGAGTTCTGACAATGAGACTTCCGTAATGATGGAGGTGCTAGTGCATATCTGCAAATCCTTTGCATGACAACTGTCCCAAACTTCCCTGTAATTCTGTACTCACCATTGGTCTGAAGCCATTTGCACAGCAACAGAAAAAGTCTTAGGGCCTCTCCTCCCCTCTCCAGTACTGTGTCAGTGTCTGCCAATGAAGCTCAGGATTCAGAGACCAAGCCTGAGCTTTTCCTGAGCCCTGACTTTCAGGCAGTTCTCTCAGCCCCTCCAAGGAGCCATTGCAGGGCAGTGGAACCACACTGCTTCCTAGTGGTCAGTGGGGCAGAGCCACTAGAAATGAGCCATTTGTCCATCCCCAAAGTGAACCAAGCTGTGTTACACTGTTAGAGGTGCAATTAGGGTTATAGTTGGTGTTTTAGATATTCAAAAATAATGCCCTTCTTTATATGACTGAACACCTGAGAGAGGGGTACTGAGTCAGAATGTGAGCTTTGGTGCTGGTAAAGCTGGGGCTCAAGGGTGAGCTAAGTGGGCTAGCAGGCAGACAAATTACTGAATTGAATTTACCCACCCCTGGCCAGCCCTCCCCAAGTGTTCAGGCATCCCCACTGAATAGAGAGTCTGCTCACTAACTTTGCTGTAATTGGAGGGAGGAGAATAGAAAGCATCAGTCCCTCAGGCAGACAAGTACAGAGATGGAAACAGGAGGCTGGAACTGAGCATGCTTCGACCTTTCAAAATCACTAATCAAATGACCCCACTCTCCTATCATGGGGGAGAGTGAGAGGAAGGGAGTGGGCCAGGAACATTGCTCCAGAGAAGCTCCAACATCCCCAGAGGGAGTTGAGAACAAGTGTTTTCCCCAAAGATTCTCAGGATTTGGGTTCTCTTAACACCTTGGACCAACCATTATGCCTACGAACAGCAAGAGATGAGCAGTCTGTTGGGATGTTTCTTGTCCCACCTTTTTGAGGTGTCTCCTCCAATGTCAACTACTGCTCCTTTGGATTTACTCATGGGACCACCAGGGGACAATTAGGTTAGGCCCCAGAGAACGTGAAATGGTTTACAATGTTAGATTGATTAAATTAACTCTGAGGCCACAATGGCTGACACCGGAGAACTAGCTCTCTATTCCCCTGTGTCCCCATTCCGTTCTGCCACATCGTCCACTGTGACACAACAGAGGTTCAACAGTGTTATGAGTTGAATTGTGTCCCCCCAAAATATGTGTTGTAAATCTGAACCCTTATATAGGTAGATGTAATCCCATTTGGGATTTGGTCTTTCTTCGTAATGTTAATGAGGCCAGGTCAGTGTAGGGTATGTTTTAAGACAATTGCTTTTGAGATATGAAAGAACAGATTAGGCAGAGAAGAAGGCAGACACAGGGGAAGAACAACACTCTCTGAAGAGGATGGAGGAAGACCCGTCTACAAGCCCGGGAATCCCGAGGATGGCCGGCTAGAGGAGCTGAGGCAAGGATCTTCCCCAGAGCCCACAGATAGAGCCTTCCCTGAGAGCCAGTGCCTTGAATTCAGACCTCTAGACTCCTGAGCTGTGACAAAATAAATTTCTGTTCATTAAAGCCACCCACTTGTGGTAATTCCATTACAGTGGCACTAAGAAATGAAGACGAACAGCAAGATAAAATGGCAACATAATGACTCACCAATAATAAAGTGCCAACCCCAGGTGCCCCCAATTTGAATATATACTACTTCCATTGAAAAATTCCTTTTAAGGGTGTAGGCAAGACCAGCCTAAGTCATCGATTTTTCATCAACACACTCTCTGTTCCCAAATCGTGGTTGTCCCAGGCTTTGTGCAGAATTTCCATTATAGCTTTTTAGTTTCACAAGAATTATACAAGTTTAATCACTTCACTCTGCCATTACCTAATCCTTTAAGAAAGATTCAGCTGAATTTTTTAAAGTTTAAAGTATTTTTAAAAATTTGTCCTATGCCATCACCAAAACATGAGTAGAGTTAGCAATATTCACAGGAGTTGAGTGACTTTTCCCCTTTAAATTGATGTTTGCATTCTGGTCCAAGCCATGATGTCTTCTAATCTATTCTTCTGGATCTTCTCTCTGTGTGATCTCCCATAGTGAGAGACGTGAAATTAACAATAACTGGGTCTTCTAAAACAAACGCACAAACATTGCCCATCTTTGAAGCCCTGCGTTTGCAACACAGGGTACATCACTTAGCTCCTGCCACAGCAACGCTGGGCAACAATCCTCCCAAAATACTGTGGCTTAAAACAACAAGCATTTATTTTTGCTGGTGAGTCTATGGGTTGGAGCAATAGTTCTGTGAGTCTTGGCTGAGCAATATAAATACTAGTCTTTTGTCAGATATATGCTTTGCAACTACTTTCTGCAGGTCTGTAACTTCTCTTTTCCTCCTCTTAACTGGGTCTTTCACAGAGCAAACATTTTAAATTTTGATGTGGGAATCTCTTGGCAGGTTCTCAGGGGTGGCAGATATGGCTTTACAAAGAAGCAGAACACAGATCAGTCAAATTCCTGATCTCTGAAAGTATGTATAAAATAGAATAACCAATGAGCATTGTCTAGATAAGTCTACCTGGTTGTTCCTTTCCAATATGAGCATTAGCAAATATCTATTATGTCCCACTGTGAAACTGGAGCGAATAGAGCCATTAACTACTTCATAGAGAAGAAAAGCATTCAACAGTGTCTTGAGTGACCAAAAGAATTTGACAATGGGGAGAAGGTGGTGAAAAACATTTCTGTTGATGGAAATTACAAGAGCAAATGTATAGGGAGGCATGAAATCTTGTAAGAACACTTTGCAAGGGGATAAAGTACATTTGACTCCAGAGTAAGATAAATGCCATGGAATGCGGGGCAGCCCTGATTTTAAGATTCACATACCATCCCAAAGTGGGATTTTGTCTTGTGGACAATGGGGAGTCATTGGATGAGCACCAATTAGAAAGTGTGCTTTAGAAGGACTATAATGGTGTCACTAGTAGAATAAATTAAGGCTTTTTGCAGCAATGAAGAAGGTGGTAAATCACTTTTTTGATTTGTCATATCCAAATAAACAAATCCAAATTTATTTGTCAGGGAGATTGGTGTGTGATCATCTTATCATCGAGCTGACAGGGTAGGAGACTGTTGACAATGCCAGCTGTTATAGAACAGCCACTCTAAACGATTTTGTCTTCTATATTATCGGTCTCTTTAAATTCATTTATTTATTCTTTGTTCAACACATAATCCTTTATTACCTTCCTTGTCTAACACACAGTGTTAGCGTTAATGGTGAAAATGTCAAAGTCCTTACCCACAGGGACTGGAGGAGAGAAACGTTCATTTCATTCAACAGATATTCACACAGCATCTACTATGCTTTAGCCACTGTCCTACTAGGAGCCTGGTGGTTAAAGCAAACATGTCTGCCCTCATGGAGCTCATATTAAATGGAGGAGAAAGACAGCACATAATAAACATAATAGATTAATGAATCATAAGCAAGTGTATTGCTGTTGCTAGCAGCTGTCTAGTCAATTCTGACTCATGGTGACCCCCTCTGTCACAGAGTAGAACTGCTCCATAGGATTTTCTTGGCTGTACAACTTAGAAAACCCTATGAGGCAGTTCTACTCTGTCACATGGGGTTCGCATGAGTTAGAACAGACTCAGTGCCACCTAACAAAAACAACAATCTTATTGGAAGCGGATTGCCAGGTCTTTGTTCTGTGACACTGCTGGCTGGGTGTAAATAACCAACCTTTCGATTAACAGTTGACCGCAAACCACTTGGGCCACACAGGGACCTTTTAAGAAAGTGTGTCAGGAAGTGTTAAGTGCTGTGGAACAACAGCAACTGCAAGAACAGAGCAGAGCAAAGGATTCGGAGTGCAGGAGGTGGGCATGGTAGGTTTGCAGCATTGAATGGAGTGATCAGAGGAGGCCTCGTTGGAAGATGAGATTTGTGCAGACTTGAAGACATTAAGGAAGTAGGGACAGGAGGGATCTTGGAGAAGGACATTCTGAGTAGAGATAACAGTTAGAGCAAAGGCCCTGGGGCAGACATGCACCTGGTGGTGTCTTTGAGGACCAGCTAGAAGACTAGTGTGGCCGGGGCAAAAGAAGCAATGGGAAAGCTTGTGAGGGAAATGTGATCACAGTTCGGAGGGAGAAGAGCAGGGAGAGGCTGGGCGTCTGAAGACACAGCCGTTTCAGGAGCCAGCCCTCCACAGGAATGGCAAAGGCAGGAAAGCAGCAAAATCCACAGTGCTGTGATTTATGTTCAGTTTCACATGTGGTGACTTTGAAGCCCACAGACACACTCTGAGCAGTTAGTGAGGAATACCATGAACCCATTTCCTGTACAAATTCCTCCACAGCATGTCCTGTGTTGGTTCTGTCTTTGTCATGTCTGACCCATTTATCTCTCCTGAGGAGGAGGGGCTGGGAGGTGAAAGTGTGGTGGAGGGGAAGCACCAGGGTTTCTGCACGGGGAGGGGGTTACTCTGCAGCTCTGTGGCTGAGCTGCTGGCACAGAGGTATATGGCTGAGTCGCCCAGCTCTGCGTGCTGGATCTTCAGGGTGGAGAAGGACCTGTCAGGCATCTCAGCAGAGGACCAGTCCTTGAGCATCTCCACTTGCTCTATAACGGCCTGGTTCTGGAAGAAAATCAGCAGCTCCAGCCCCCAGGCTGAAGTCTGTCTGTACCAGAAAAGGGTGTTGTCACCAGAAATGAGCTGACATCTCAGGGTCACCCTGTGTCCCATCTCTGCCACCTTGTGCCTGGGCGTCTGGGTGACTCTAGCATCTGTGTGCTCTATAGAAGAAGATGGAATTTGGGGGCAGAATGAGGAAAATACAAGGAAGCCAGACATGAGGATTCTGAGTGTCCTGAGGACTGACTGGTTGCCAGGAGGTCCAGAGCAATGCAGCACAGAAGTCAGGCGTCCATGGCGGGGTGGGCAGATGTGGACTATCCTCACCAGGGTCCTTTTGAGAATGAGCAGAGAAGGGAGTTGAGCACATTTTATTCCCACAGGTAACTGGCTCAGTGACATCACCAAATGCGCCCCGCCCAACCTGGGAGCTCCCTCCAGGGCAGAGGGCCACTCCTGGGGGTGCTGTACAGGACTGAACCCCGTTGTGACTTCCCTGAGACGCAGTCTTACATATGCACTCATTCCCACAGGTTGTTCACATAGCATCAGTTCTGAATGTCTTCTCTCCAGCCTCTCTTATCTAATAGCCTGTCAGTGATTTCCATGCTGATGTCATCGGCACCTCAATCAGCAAACATCTAAAGGTAACACCTCTGTCTTACTGAGAGGTCGGCTTCCCCGTGGACAGCCACATCCCTGTCCCTGTGGCTTCTGCTCCTTGTCACATACACACGCTCACAAACACCCACTGTGCTGGGAAGAACAAAGATACCCACTGTGTTGTTGGGGCTCCATGGGTTCAACGGGTGCCCAAGAACTGGAGAGATGGAGTGCTCTCTTTGCTGGGAGTGACCTGCCTGCACTATCTGTCCTTGAGCTGTGTGAAACCCCAAGCCCATGGCCCAGGGTCTTCCACACGAAACAAGCAGGGCGTGACTTTTTCTTGGAGATTTGCTAATAAAATGCTCTGGAGCAGACTAAATTCTTGCTGTCATCTTAGAAAGGCTCAGTGTATTTCAATGGTTAGCACCTGGACTTTTCCCTACAAAAGGGGTTTCATGAAGCCCACAAACCTGCTTCCTCTCGTGATGGAGGTTCTGGAGAGCTGAGACAAGGCTGTTTCTCTGGCTGGCTAATTAAATTCTTTGTTAATGGAGAAGAAGAAAGGTCTGTGCCCATATTTGTGCTCTTGGCACTGGGACATACTGCTGGTTCCACTGATACTGGGCACACATGCCCATTTCAATGCCCATTTTAAAGAGCAAATATTGTATAGGCTGGCTTGTGTCAGCTGAGGGGCCCATGTCCTTTCTGGGTTCTGTTCCCTTGAGGGTTCTGTTGGACCCAGAACATAACAGGGAGACCATCACTCTGATTGCAAGAAGGTCACTGTTTGTTCCTCCTGTTACCAGGTGCGTAGGAGTTGTTAGCAGAATGATCCTTCCTCTTCCTCAAAGATGTCCACATCCTAATCCCTGGAAACTGTGAATATGTTAAATTACACAGCAAGGAGGAGCTCAGGTTGCAGATGGAATCAAGGTTGCTATCAACTGAGTTTGAATGGAAATGTTATCCTGAATTTTCCAGGTGGGCCCAACGTGATCATGAAAACCAAAACTAACCCATTGCTCTTGAGTCGATTCTGACTCATAGCAACCCTACATCCCTGGTGGCCCAGTTTTTAACAGCTACAGCAGCAAACCAAAAGGTCGGTAGTTCAAATCTACCAACCTCTCCTTATAAACTCTACTGGGCAGTTCTACTCTGTCCTATAGGGTCTCTGTGAGTCAGAATGTGATCACATGGGACTTTCAATGTGGGAGAAGGCAGAGCCAGAGTGAGGCAGGGGGCAAAAGACTCCACTGGCCATTGTTGGTACTGAAGGTGGTTGAAGGGCCACCAGCCGAAGAATGTAGGTGGCCTCTAGAAGCTGGGAAAGGCAAGGAAGTGGATTCTCTCCCAGAGCTTCTGGAAACAACGTGGCCCTGCCAACACATTGATTACTTGATTATAACCCAGTCGGACCCATTTTGGACCTCTGACCTCCAGAGCTGGCCGGTGGTGGAAATAGCAGAAATGAGCTCTCTTGTCAGGATATGAGGGGAGTGGTGGTCTTCTCAAGGAGCCCTGGTGGTGCAGTGGTTAAGTGCTTGGCTGCTAACCAAAAGGTCGGTGGTTCAAATCCACCAGCTGCTCCATGGGAGAAAGATTTAACAGTCTGTTCCTGTAAAGATTACAGCCTTGGAAACCCTATGGGGTCACTATGATTCAGACTCTACAGCAGTGGGTTTTGGTAGTCTTTACAAGGAGCCCTGTTGGCGCAGTAATTAAGCACTTGGCTGCTAACCAAAAGGTCAGTGGTTCCAACCCACCAGCTCTCTGAGGGAGAAAGATGTGGCAGTTTGCTTCTGTAAAGATTTCAGCTTTTCAAACCCTGTGGGACAGTTCTACTCCATCCTACAGGATCACTATGAGTTGGCATGAACTCGATGGCAGTGCGTTTGGTTTTGTGGACTTTTTGATGAGTACAGAGACAAGTATAGTGACATCATGATCTGTTGGTGTCACAGGGTCAATAAAGAGCACTGGTCTTATTGTGGCCTAAGTTGGAGCCACCTGAGAGTTATGGTGCAGTCAGACAGGTGGCGGTGATTGTGTCAGCTGTGATGCTGATGGAAAGCAGGGCTCAGATGGGAAGCCAAACGGGCTAGCTAACACTATGCTCAGTCAGAGTGTAGCCCAGCACCTCTCCCCTCCAAACCACAGCCAGCCTTGTGTGGATGAGACGTTCCCACCAATCTCACCCCAAGGTGGAGAAAAGCCAGGAAGGTAGCCAGGAAGAAGGAGAGAAGATGAAGAGAGTGAACTCATCAACCAGGTAACCTGTTTCCCCTCCCACAGAGAAGGTGCTTCAAGAAACAGGATGACTGGGACAGGAGCATGACTTTACGGGAGTCCCCCCACCCAACTTGGGAACGTGGAGTAAAGCATTGTCCCAGGAGACTGGGGTTAAGTGGGAAAGACGATGAGTCTCATGTCAGTTACCACCCCCAATTCCACCCACAGCTCCTCGAGTAAGGAGCTCTGGTGGCACAGAGGTTAAGCACTTGGCTGCTAACCAAATATTCGGAGGTTTGAACCCACTAGCCACCCCTTGGAGGAAGATGTGGTAGTCTGCTTTTCGTAAAGATTACAGCCTTGCAAACACTATGGGGCAGTTCTACTCTGTCCTATGGGGTCACTATGAGTAGGAATTGACTTGATGGCAATAGGAGAAGAGTGGGCTCCTCGGGTGTACTCATAAAATACAGCACAGATGTGCCACAGCTATGCAGCAGTTACATTAACCCTGAAGCCCCTTCTACACTCTCTGACCAAGTCTAAACATTCCCTCTCTATTCCACCACACACCTTGTCACATGGTCTAACAGAACACTAGAGGTTATGTAAGAAAAGTACATCACAACATGAAAATACTCCAGTAATAAAACACCAAATGCAAAAAGATGTCCCAGTTTGAAGTTTGAAGTTTTTAAAAAATTTATTGGGTGAAATTAAAATTCAAGCATAGTATCTGTATGCCATTTAAGTAAAATATCAAAGACTTAAGTAAAGTCCAAAGGAATTAAAATTTCAAGTCAAATTCTTTGGACTTCAAACCCAATCATTACAGAAGAGGTCACTCAAATCAACACTTCTGTTGTGAAGTAAACAGCTGGGGGAAAATAACAGCCACAGAACTTCAGCTAAGAGAAGCCCTGACAATGGACTGAGGAATTCCTAGGCTGGAATTTGGGGAAGGCAAGAGACTAGGGAGGGAGCCCGGCAGCCTCTTTGCCCTGGAGCATTCAGCAATCCTACTCAGCGCTCAGGAAGCTGACACACAGACAGGGGTCTAAGCGTCAGAATGCACCAAATGTGGGTGCTAACAAAGGACCCCCACATTATACTGGGTCCCCTAAGGGCTATGTTGTTGTTAGCTGCCATTGCTACAGCCCCCAGCTCATGATGACCCCATGCACGACAGAACCAAGTGCTGCCCGGTCCTGCACCATCCCCATGATTGGCTATGGATCAGACCAATGTGAACCACAGGGTTTTCATAGGTCGATTTTCAGAAGTAGATGGCCAGGCCTTTCCTTCCACTTCATCTTAGTCTGGAAGCTCTGCTGAAACATTTTCAGCATCATGGCAACATGAAAGCCTCTGTCTTAGTCATCTAGTGCTGCTCTAACAGAAATACCACAAGTGGAAGGCTTTAACAAAGAGAAATTTATTCTCTCACAGTCCAGTAAGCTACAAGTCCAAATTCAGAGCATCAGCTCCAGGAGAAGGCTTTCTTTCTCTGTCAGCTCTGGAGGAAGGTCCTTGTGATGCATCAGTCTTCCTTTGATCTGGGAGCATCTCAGCACAGGAACCTCAGGTCCACAGGATGCGCTCTGCTCCCAGCACTGCTTTCTTGGTGGTATGAGGTTCCCATGTGTCTCTGCTCACTTCTCTCTTTTATATCTCAAAAGAGATTGCATTAAGACACTACCTAATCTTGTAAACCTCATCAGTTATAACAACCTCATCACAGTGATAGAATTTATAACACATAAGGAGATCAAATATCACCTCATCATACTGATAGAGTTTACGACATATAAGGAAATCACATCAGATTACACAGTCATACAAAACTGGGAATCATGACCCAGCCAAGTTGACAGATATTTTTGGGGGACACAATTCAATCCATGACAGCCTCTATTGACAGACAAATGGTAGCTGCACATGACATGCATTGGCCGGGAATTGAACCTGGGAACCCTGATGAACCAGAGGTCATCCTGTTTTCTAGGTGATCCAGGACACCTCAAGCCTTGAATTCCAACTCAGGTGGCTCCAGATTGTTTATATCACCACCCACCACAACACTTGGCAGAAACAATTGAAAATCCTCTCTGGAGAAAGACTTCTCCATCCTAGACCAAAAATCACTTCTGCAAATAAATCATCTGGCACCAAGTCAAAGACAATCAAGCTCATAAAGAAAAATGCAAACACCATGACTGAGAAGCAGCAGGAAAAGAAAATCAACAGAAACAGCTCCACAAAGATTGCAGGTGCTAGAATTAGCAGACAGACTCTAAAACAAGTATGTTTCCTATATTTGAAGAAATAAAGGATAATCTTGGAAAACATCATCAGGGAACTATCTAGTAACTATAAAAAATGACATAACAGATTGCCAAAGAAACCCAGTAAAAGTTCTACCAAGGAGATGATGAATGATTGTGCTCATCAAGGACTGAGGCTTTGTCAGACAAGTACAGTGTGTGTCGGCATAGGCACAGGAGTTGAGCTGTGGAATGGGTGAGCTCACGTGAATGATGGCTTGCAGTCTAGATTGGATAAGGAGGAAAGGGCAGCCAGGCAGGGCTGAGGGACAGTGACAATGCCTTCAGGGGATTCCCAGTAAACTGCTTGCAAGTAATTTCAACCAATGCTTCCAAGTTATGTCTAGTGTTGCCTTAGAGAATCCAGGCAGAAGTTAAGAGTACACGATGTGGAGGCAAACTGTATTATCTGAGGTGGCAGTTGGATCAGGAGAATCAATTAGTTCTTTGATGTTGTTGTTGTTGCTAGTTGCAAGGGAGTTGGTTCTGGCTCATGGTGACCTTATGGATAACAGAAAGAAATGTTGTCCACTCCTGCATCATCTTCGTGATCGTTGATATGTTTGAGTCCATTTACGTGGCTATTGTGTCAATCCATCTCATTAAGGGTTTCCCTCATTTTTGATGACCCTCTACTTTTCCAAATATGATGTCCTTTTCTAGTGATTGGCTTTCCTGATGACATATCCAAGGTAAGTGTGATGGTTAAAATTGTGTGTCAACTTGGCTGGGCCATGATTCTCAGTGTTTATATGTGATCACCTCCATGATGGGATCTGTTGTGAGTAGCCAACCAGCTGAAAGGGAGTTTCCTTGGGCTTGTGGTCTGCATCAGAATATAAGCGGATGTTCTGGCTTTTGCCTGATCTGGATCCTGCAACCTCAGTTCTTGGGGCTTAAGCTAACAGCTTGCTTGCCGAAATTGGGATTTGTCGATCTTCACAGCCTGTGAGCAAAAGCCCTGCTCGCCAACCTGCTGATCTTGGGTTCACCAGACCCTGCAGCTACGTGAATCAGGAGAAGCCACTATCTTGATCCAAGGACTTGGGATGTTCCAGCCTCTACAATTGCATGAGCCATTTTCTTGATATAAATCTCTCTATACATATATTTATATGCTTCACTGGTTTTGCTTCCCTATAGAACCCAGCCTATTACATTTGGTAGTGAGAGTGGTTCTGGAGAAACAAAATGGTAAGGATAAGTTTCTTAAATTGGTTCTCAAATCTGGTTAGTCTTAAAGATGTTGATGACTTGCTTCCAGCAGTAAAGAGGGCATTGCTAATCCATGGCATAAAGTGGCTATTCAAATATGCAAAATATCATCACAAATAGATCAAGTATTGGTGAAAGGTGAGGCTCTGGGTGAACACATGTGTGATATCTTTCTACAATTTTGTCAGAATGAGAAGTACAAGGAAGGGGCCCAAATGCCCATGGTCTCCACTCCTGTCACATTACCTTCCATCTCCCAGACTAAATCTATGGCCTCATGAGGATTTCCTTATGTTCAGTTGACTGGAGAAGAGAAAACTTGTGCCTGGTTTACGGATGGTTCTGTTAGATATGAGGCACCACTTGAAAGTAGACAATGGCAGCACTATAGTCTCTGTCTGGGACCTCATATGACCAAGAAAGAAGCACCAGGAGCAGAGTGCCTCCTTTGGACCTGGTGTTCCTGCATGGAGAAGCTCCGAGTTCAGGGAAAGATTGATAACAAGGACCTTCTTACAGAGCTGACAGAGAAAGCATTCCCCTGAAGCTGATGCCCTGAACTTGGACTTGTAGCCTACTAGAGTGTGAGAGAATAAACTTCTGTTTGTTGAAGCCAGTCACGTGTGGCATTTCAGTTATAGAAGCACTAGATGACTAAGAGAGTAAGTGAGTCAAAGTATCGCCATCCTTGCTTCTGAGGAGCATTCTGGTTGTATTTCTTCTAAGACAGATTTGTTCCATCTACTGGCAGTCCACGGTATATTCAATATTCTTCACCAACACCATATTTTGAATGCCTCAGTTCTTCTTCCGTCTTCCTTTCTCATAGCCCACCTTTGCCTGTGTTATGAGTCAATTAAAAAGACCATGGCTTGTGTAAGGTGCACCTTACTCATCATCAGAAGCCATTACTAAGGAATATTTTAATGCACTAGAAACTATTTTAATGCAGAAAGACAGACAGCTGAAAGAGCCCTTGTTGAGTCTCCGGAGACCCCTGTGCTGTCAAGGGTTCCTGGAGGTGGCCTTCCCAGGGCTGGGGCTCGTGAGCACAGGGCAACTTCAGCCCCTCTAACTGCCCTTTTTCTGTGGGGTGGATGCGGCTGTGCAGCGCTGTGGATTACTGGTGCAGAAGTACACAGCTGTCTGTGAGGGTGCAGCCGACCCAACAAGAGGAGGAAATTCTCCGTGTTTGATCTGGAGACACTGTACCCATCAGGGATGTCGTCTTTGTTGGTGATGCCAGTACCAGCAGAGTAGTGGATCAGCCACATCCCCAACTCCGGGTCTTGTCGGTACCAGTACATATAGTTGTGGTTCATGTCCTGGGCGCATTGCAGGGTCACGTTCCCTCCTGTCCTTGTGATCTTGTGCCTTGGGGACTGGGTGATACCAGCATATGTGTTCCCTGTAACAGAGATTAGCAGAGGCTGATATTCTGGTCCCAGGAGAAGGGCTTGTATTGAGGCTGTGGGAGGCCCAGGGAAGGAGGTGCATCTGTGACCAGGACTCACTTGCCCACAGGACACAGAGGGCCACAGGGAAGAGGAGCCTGGAGCCCATCACAGCAGAGGGAGAATCTGTTTCCCGGTTCTGTTGTGGGAAGTGGATCTTCAGTGGAGACACTCAGTGACATCACTGTCCCCACAGGTGCTTGGGTCTCTGAGCAAGGCAGCTATGCCCCTCCCCACAGGAATAAGTCAGCTATAGATGTACAGCAAAACAGCTCAGAATAGGAGGATTTCTAGCTCTGTTTGTAAAGAAGTTTATAAGTGTATATGCCCTGTCCCTGACTTTTAAGGAGGTATTCCATTTCTCTACACACATTTTATTCACATTTTCAAACAATTCCTCAATAAAATACTGTTTTAATTTTTCCCAATATTTCTGTGGTCTAGGGAATTTCCTTAGGGTAGTCCCAGCCAATGCACATCATGCACAGCCCCACTCATCTGTCAGTGGAGGCTTGTGTGTTGCTGGGATGCCAAACAGGTTTCAGACTAAGAAATACTAGGAGGAAAGACCTGATAATCTACTTCCAAAAAAATCAGCCAATGAAAACACTATGGATCACAATAGTTCCATCCACATCTGATCATGGGGATGGTTCAGGATCAAGCAGTGTTTTGTTCCATTGTGCACAGGGTTGCCAGGAGTCAGAGGTCAACTTGACAACATCTACCAGCAATAACATGGGCAAAGGAGTTGAACTGTGCAATGGGTGAGCTCACATACATGATGGCTTGCAATCTAGGTTGCATAAGGAGGGAAGCACAGCCAGGCAGTGCTGAGGGACAGTGACAATGCCTTCAGGGGATTGTCAGTAAACTGCTTTCAAGTAATTCCAACCAAGGCTTCTGAAAAATTTCCAGTGTTATCTTGTGGAAACCAGGCAGGAATTAGAGTAGAGGACGTGAACCTGGAAACCAAGTGTCAGGGAACTTGATTGCTTCAAACCTTCTTACTAAGGACCCTTTCAATGCACTGAGGAACCATTTTATTGCACAAATAGAGTCAGCTGGAAATGCCCTCAATATCCCCAGAACTGGCTGGCCCAAGCCTTCAGATGGTGCTGAGCTGTGTTGGTTCCATCGAAGAGCATGACCTCTTTGGGGTGAGTAGAATTCATTTTGAGCCATGATTTGGGACTGGTTGCCAGAATACC